TTGGTTAAAGGTTCATTGCTCTGATACCATAATAGAAAAGAAGGAAGAGCAAATGAAAAGAAGAAAAGACTGATAGAAAAGAAGGAAGAGCAAAAGACCAGAAAAATATTTTCTTTCTTCTAAAATATTTTACTGTTTACAGGGATACATATATTGTCACTAGTGTTGTAACTTAACATAAGAAAACAAAACAGCAAGAAAAGAAAACATTACAGCAGGAAAACAAAACATTATAGCAGGAAAACATGTATTGCCACTGACATTGTACTGTGGCAGAAGAGAACAAAAAGAAAAAATCCAAAAACGGTTATAATTAAACTAACAAATTTATTAATTAATCTTAACAACGCGCGATAGGTTCTACCATACAGATTTGGACTTTATACCTGAAGAGCCAGTAAATTTCTTAAACCATCCAACTCAGTGAATCTCAACTCGTCCTGAAACGTAGTCTCTGAGTTTCGGGGAATGGCAGTTCAAGGTAGTACTCCTAGAGTTTTCTGTGTTGCAACGGCCGATACAAAACTCGAGGAGCTTCGGTTCCTTTCTGATTGCGTCCGATCCAACCTCACCGCTTTCTCCAATCAGTCATCTTCTAAGGTACTTTCTCTTTGTGTTCACATGTTTCTTGTACGTGAACTGCATATATGCGCATGTGTATGCAAGTCATGCCGGTTATTCTAGAAGCATGGAGTATTAGTCTACCTCAAAAATGAGATTCATTCATCTCTTTCCTTTTTTTTTTTTGTGTGGAAATACTTTGTTAATCTGAATCGTTATGGTCCAGATGTCGCTCAAGTGATTACAATGTTAACTAAATAGTTTTAATTGATTAGGTTAAAAGGGATTTTTGCAAATGAGTCGATCTCTTGTCGCAGTGCTTAATGCTATGAATTTGAATTTAGCATTTCAATTTGACAATAGACTTTATTCATAATTTTAACGCACTGAGTTTGCGATTTGGTGTTGAGATTTGTCTTGGCAGTTGGCATTCATTGTCGAGTTTGTTTGCGTTCTGCGTAATTCGACCATTCCATTAGGTTCTTCTTCCGGTATTCGGAAGTGAGGTATAATACTGTTTTTGGAAGTGCAGGTAGAAGCTGTGGTTCTCGATGTTTCTGTCAGTCATGATAAAAAGGAGATTGAGAATTTAGGGGATTTTCCTTTTGTGAGTAGAAAGGAAATTCTATCATTCTGTTCTGGATCTGTTGAACAAATGCTAGCCACTCTCCCTGATGATAGAGGAGAGGCGGTTGCTATTATGAGTCAAGCACTACAAAATTTTCTTAAAAAGGCTAATGATAAAGGTGTTCTTGCTGGAGCTATAGGTCTTGGAGGCAGTGGGGGTACGTCTTTAATATCATCTGCTTTCAGATCTCTTCCAATTGGAATGCCTAAGGTCATTGTGTCAACCGTAGCAAGCGGTCAAACTGAACCATACATTGGAACGTCGGATTTGATATTGTTTCCATCAGTTGTGGATGTCTGTGGGATTAACAGTGTTAGCAGGGTTGTGTTATCAAATGCTGGGGCTGCTTTCGCTGGAATGGTGATTGGAAGACTTGAGAGATGTAGACATGCTGATAGCCCAAGTAACAAATGTACTGTTGGTATTACGATGTTTGGGGTAACAACTCCATGTGTAAATGCTGTCAACGAAAGATTGCTCAAAGAAGGTTACGAGACACTGGTTTTCCATGCCACTGGGATAGGGGGCAGAGCCATGGAGATCCTGATTAGAGAGGGATTTATTCAGGTAAATGTTAGAAGTAAATGATTGAGACAGTCTGTAGTTTCCTTCAAAGCTTAATGTTGGTCAAGTTGGAAAGCCAGTTTATTTGGACCGCAGCTTGCTGATGGAGTTAATCTTTTGTGCTATGTTATTATGATTTTTTTTAATTATCCATGATTCTAGTCTTTCAGTGATTGGACTTTTTATTTTCTTTAGAGTGTTTTAGACATCACAACAACTGAGGTTGCTGATTATGTGGTTGGAGGTGTGATGGCTTGTGACAGTTCCCGCTTTGATATCATGATAGAGAAAAGAATACCCTTGGTTCTGAGTATAGGGGCTTTAGATATGGTGAACTTTGGAGCTAAAGATACAATACCGTCTATTTTTCAGCAACGAAAGATTCATGTACATAATGAGCAGGTGATATTTCACTCTGATTTATATACTTTGTTTACAGTATAATAGTTTCTTTTTATGTATATTTTTACTTGTGTGCTTCTATTCTCAAGGCGCTCAAAAGGTATGCCCTCCTATTGTAATTTGATTGTGATGATCACCAGCTAGGAAATTATGTCACAATATATATGACAGTTATCAGTTCCTATATTGAGTACTCATAACAGGTGTCACTCATGCGAACTACAATTGATGAAAACAAGAAATTTGCTGGATTTATAGCAGATAAGCTGAATAAATCAGCATCAAAGGTTTGTGTTTGCCTGCCACAAAAGGGTATTTCTGCTCTGGATGCACCAGGGAAGCCTTTCTATGATCCTGATGCCACTGCCGCTCTCATAAATGAAATGCAGAGGCTTATTCAGACAAATGAAGATCGGCAGGTATATTGTTGCTCATTAAGTGTTGTGTATAAATAATTTGATCTTTCCCATTGGCAGATTTCATTTTCATGTCTTAATGCATTACCTTTTTGAATTTACCTTGTATACTTGCAAAGTTTCTGTTTATTGATAGGTTAAGGTGTACCCTTATCACATCAATGACCCTGAGTTTGCAGAAGAATTGGTTAACTCATTTTTGGAGATCTGTTCAAAGAGCCCTGCAAAATCAAGTCTTCCTCATATTGGTTCTCATGAACCCAGCCAAGACTTTTGCGAGGAATCCTTATCTAACACAAGTGCAGTGAGAACTGGGCCCTTACATTACAGCCCCAGTGATTTCCCTGATGCAATGCCAGGTTGAAATAGGGATCATTTCCCATTATAAAAATTAGTGAACTATATAATTGATTTAGTTTATACAGGAAAATGTGAAGTGTATGGTAACTTTAAGAAAATAATTTTTATCTTTTCCTATTATAATAATTGTCTCATCTGGGTGTGGTTTGATTGAGGTTGAGTGCTTCCAGTTGAGCATGGTGTTGTTATCTTAATCACGTAGCTTTATGTCAGAGGGGACAAAGGCCTGATTTCCCTTTTCTTTTTTGATTATAGAAACTTTGCAAAGAACTCGAACAACATTGAAGCAACTGAAAGATCGGATAGATAAAGGATTACCCATAATAGGGGCAGGTGCAGGTACTGGAATATCTGCAAAGTTTGAGGAAGCTGGTGGTGTTGATTTGATAGTCTTGTACAATTCAGGGCGTTTCCGCATGGCAGGAAGAGGGTCCTTAGCAGGCTTATTGCCTTTTGCTGATGCGAATGCAATAGTGCTGGAAATGGCCAATGAAGTTCTGCCAGTGAGTTCCAATTACATGCATTATCTAGAACTAAAGGGAAAGGTTTCGTGATTATCTGTACTCTTAGCTCAGTTTAACTATTCTTTCATCTGACCGCTCTCTCTCCTCGAAAAGGATATAAATTAATGAGTTGATATTACTGTTTTGCTCTGTTTTTTATTACTTTCTGTTAGTTATCCTGATCTTTAGGTAACAAGGTCACTAGTCATTCACAACAGTTGTTGAGATACCCATTAATAGTCATCTGGTAGACATGGAAAGCAAGTTTCCAGCTCATTCTATGATTTATTGTTAATATCTAGGTGGTCAAAGGGGTACCGGTTCTCGCCGGAGTATGTGCAACTGATCCTTTTCGCCGTATGGACTATTTTCTTAAGCAGTTAGAGTCCATTGGATTCTGTGGGGTGCAAAATTTTCCAACTGTTGGGCTTTTTGATGGAATTTTTAGGCAAAATCTAGAGGAGACAGGAATGGGATATAGGTAGGTCTTTTTAAAAGAATACATCAAATTCTTGAGATATCTTTTTTTGCAATAAATGCGGCCCATAGCTAATGTTTTTGTTTCCTGATGGTCAGCCTGGAGGTTCGGATGATTGAAAAAGCACATAGATTGGGCTTCTTGACAACCCCATATGCTTTCAACCAAAATGAAGCTGCAGAAATGGCAAAAGCTGGTGCTGATATCATAGTTGCCCACATGGGCCTCACTGCGTCTGGGTCTATAGGTGCAAAAACATCTGTCTCTATTGAGGAAAGTGTTGTTCGTGTACAAGCTATTGCAGATGCTGCTCACAGGATAAATCCCGACGTCATTGTGCTCTGTCATGGAGGTATTTTGGAAAAGCCTTTTTGGCTATTCTAAATGAAATTTTGATAGTTCTTTGTTGGTAACAACATATATAATTGCGGGACCTGTTTTATACTATAGTATGGTTTTTCTTATACAGTCCTGTGTTGGTAACGACATATATAATTGCATTGCCTGTTTTATACTAGAATATGGTTTTTGTTGTACAATTTCAGACGAATGTGCCCTTATGAAGTCAAATCCCAGTGGTGCATAGTTACATTATTGATTTTGCAATTCGAATGACTGACTAAAGTGATCCTTTTGATTTTGCAAAATTTATTCTCAGCCTTTATATCTTTCACATTCTCAATAATTGCTATTCCATTTCTTTCTGTTACTCTAACCTTTTGTACTCACAATTGTTTTGAAGGTTGGTATTCATTTGCCAGTCTTTTGCTATTTAGATTTTTTAATCTAACATGGTCATTTCTTATATTTTATTGGCACAATTTTTAGGTCCGATATCTGGTCCTAAAGAGGCAGAGTTTATTTTTAAGAGAACTGAGGGAGTCCATGGGTTTTATGGTGCGTCAAGCATGGAGAGGTTACCAGTTGAGCAGGCTATAACAATCACAGTGCAACAATATAAATCAATCTCGCTTAAGTGAATTTCAATATGCTGTTTCATAATGAAGCTAGATGCTTTAGCACCATTTCTAAGTCTGCACCTTTCTTCTTTTGAGCCTTAAATTGTGAACAATAAAATGTTTATTTTTAAAGCTTGAGTAAAGTTCTATCACTATTTCATGTCAATAAGAATTGAGGTATTTAAGGATATATTTTGAATAAATCTTTGTTTTTATGAAAGAGAAAGAGAAAAACTTTTCAGGTTCTCTTCTTGAAAAAAATTCAGAACCTTGGCAATTTATTCTAACCTGTTACTGTGTGCAAGTTGACATCATCCATCAACTCCAAGTACAGGTCGTTTAGGCATTGGTTGATCCTCACCTGAACAATGACATTGGTTGAAGCTGTCACTTTCTAAATTGAGACAACTTAAAGCTCTTTAGTTTGAATGCAAAGTAAGGAATATCGAAATGCTTACTCAATATTTTTTCTTGCAAATCTATTCTCGATCTGTTTTAGAAGTGTCTTCCATGTGGGTCAAGCTGGCAAATGCCAAGATGGTTTCTTCGGTAGTTGCAAGGTGGGAACTTCTGAGCTCTCAGTGCCAAGATTGATGTGACTTTTGGGTGATTTCTTTCGGTTTATTGGAATGCCATTTTTCATATCAAGTTATTCAGTTAAAGAATTTATATTTACATTGTTATTGGCTCGTAGTGATGTGATTCTGTTATTTTGACATCTGGCATTTCTTTTAAAGTTCTGGGTTATCTCATAGCTCTGATTTCTATAATAAAAAAGTCGCCATTTGGCACATCCTGAGGAGCTGGGTTTCCTGGAAACATTATAATTTTGAGATTGTAGTTGGAACGGTATGAAAAGCTTATGCATTCTTTCAGGTATGGGTGCTCATATCTACAGATTACCTTCTCTTTTCCAGTGAAAAATTGTTAATGCAGTTAATGCATGATAAACTTAATGTCTCTCTCCCTCTTTTTTTTTTTTTTTTGTTTAACTTCATTTGAAGTTTAGTCATGAAACCATCCACGTGATAATGGTTCTCTTAGGAAGATAACATTATGAA